TATGTTTATTTGAATATTCGCCAATTTTTCAACTGCCACATCGAGCCTGAGGACCCCTTTGCGAAAATGGCAGTACATTTCGCGGTTCAATAGGCTTTATGCAGAGCCGAATAAGCTAGTTGAATCCTTTGACGTGGAGAGGATACCGTCTGTATCTTTAATTCATCCAGGACATTAGAGGATTACGAGGGAGCAGCGAGTCCAGTTGATTCGCAAAGTCATCGCGAATAAGTCCCAGTCCCTAACGTGCTCGAAAGTAGTTACGAACAGATTGGAAGCAGTCGGGCAGTTCCGCAATTCGGACTCACGAAATTCGTGTCAATTACGCTTGAAAAGGATGTTCTCAACTTTCTAACGTTGCCGCCGCTTTCGGCCGAGTTTTGAAATCCAGTTGATCGACTTGCCAGACTCGGCGCTGCGGCTGCTGAAATTTATGAAACGTCATTCTTGAACGCGAATTACGTCCACGCTGTGATTAGCAATGAAAATATAAATTTTAACCTTGTTTTTTGTTTCGTTTCCCAGAATTTCCAAAGTTTACTCGCAAACTATTTATCTAGTTTGAATTGACGTTCCCGGTCCTTTGTGTCAAGACGAAGTCAAACAGCATCACGTATATGGATCTGCTCGAGACGAACTTCAGGCTGAACTCATTGTCAGTGCGACAGCGTCAAGGTGACTTTTCAACAATCTCCAAGTCATCTCGAACGACGCAGTTTCCTCTGTACCCGCGACACGAAACTTAATGGACATCCGTTGAATGAGATCTTTGGACCAAAAAAAAAAAGAAAAGGACAAGGATTAAAAAATAGACTACCATAATCCAGCTACAAAGTCGACAGACAGAAGCAACTAAAGCCGAGAGCAATACCGCATGGCCGGTATCGCTGATTGCGGCAAACTTTCCAATTGGTGGTACGAGTTTCTAAGAATCCCCCATTAGGTTCCCTCTTGGAGTTTTTCCGAAAAGGATAAAGTTCCCATCTGGTGAGCCACCTCTTGGGAAAACTCGAATGCATCTCGGTAACCTAGGAAGCAGAAGTGGAAGAAAAGAAAGAAAAAAAGAAGTATGATACCACAAAGAGAAAACTTGGATAAAAGTGAAGAAACTAGGTACATCGTGTTTCTACGTTGGTCCATGGTCACCATTATTGCTCGTATAAAGATGTATTTCTTGTCTGGTAGCAGCGGAGGTAATAAAATAAAATAAATAATATCGAAAAGGTGAAAAAAAAGAAAAGAATTACGTTTCGACCAGGGTATCGCGTGTATATCCTGTCGGCCATATTTCTTCAGGATACAATTTTCCCAGGACTAACGCTAGCGTGAGATCTTCATGCTTGGGAAAGACAGAGAGCCGAGAGACGATAATTTATTTACCAAGAATTCGATGTAGACTAAAGACGAGCTTTGAGATTTACTTCGACCTCGGTAATTAAAGTGGGTCTCGCCCGGTATGTACCGGCTGACAGCTGTCAAAAGCCACGAAATTAATTATTTCGCGGTCTGCCGCTATACGATATAATAAAAAAGCTGTATATATATTTATTTCTTAATATAAAATATTCTCACTTCACTTTCACAAGCAAGGGCGACTTTCGCTGTGCACGACACCACGCCTCTGATTAAACTTTTATTTCGAAACATTTGTCACTTTTCGTCTTAGTCCCGTGAAGATTGCGTTAATGATAATCAACGGAATGAAGCAGATAACGAAGCTGGTGCCTTGTGAATATTTCGACAGGCTCGTAAAGAAGTAGCTACAGGACTGGCGGTTACGTCTGGCCCTTAATTAAACATTTAACCAAATTTTCTTAAGACCACTCAGAACCACCAAAGGGGTTTATTTTCGTAGCTCTTGTAGCGTAATGTAGATTAAAGGTAGCACCCTGTAGATAAACGATAATAATACGACAGGACGTTAAATTCAATTTAGTTTTCACGAGAAACGACTATAAAGTTATGACAAAAAATTCTAACCTCATTCGGAAGTAACATTACATATAATTGTCCAGCATTGAATAAGATGACAGCTATTACTCACGTATAAAGGAATCGAGGTGCCTCGTACAGTCGTACTAAACCTGCAGTAAATATTGCACCTTGTCACTCTGGCTCGTTTAGACTTACTGAAGAAAACACTGAGAATCCTGGCAGTTGTCCAACGTATAAGAAAGACTGTGTCTCGAGGCAACAGATTTCCTACCGATAAGATTAACTCGTCCCGGCATCCATCTTGAGAAATAATAAATCCGTCCGAACGTCATTCGGCCCTTTAATAAACACAAGGCGCGTAGCACTTTTCCAATAAAAATAAATCCGCCGGACGTGTCAAAGCGTCAGGACGGAACTGACGGTGAATTAAATAGCTTAATCTGATCCGATCTCGTCAGCAAACACAGATTAAATTAGGCAAACTTGTATCAAAGCTGTGGGAAAATTAAGGTTATCGTGACGCGCACTGAGCTGTTGACATTTTCGACATTTGTTTTTCTTTCCCACTACGCATGCTAATCGTCATGACGACAAAATAAATACGTATCCCGATGATAACTACGTAAAACCGAAAAGCGTGTGCCGTTTAAGGCAGCATTTCTATGTACATATTTAAAGCGACTCACTGACGCTATTCCGTTGACACCGTTAGTACACTTAACCGCCACGGTTTATGGAGGCCCAGAGTACTTCAACCTACAGCCGAGTTCACATGGGAAAGTTTAAGGTTAATTTTGAACTTGACGCCCGCGACGTGATCAGGATTCAACGACACTCGAGTATATGAATACCAGGAGCATAACATAACCTAACGTAAACTACGAATGTGGACGCGACTGGTGGAAACAGTCGCAGTGAATGAGTTGAAATAATAATGACACTCGAGATAACTGCGTCACCATAATGCACTGCGGTCTCGTACGATTCTCTGGTAAAACTTCCGATAAAAATATGGAATTTTTAATGAAAACTTTTACACTTCCTAAGATCTTATTTATGTTAAATGGCGTATGATACGGACGCTGCTACAATTTTCGTTGTACCACACTGCACAATTGTGTTCTCGAAATTACCGTAATGGCGTATCTTCATTCCGCTAAATTGCGAACTGCCAATGGCTACGGTGTGCTCTCTCTCTCCTTTGTTTAATAACGCGCCGGTTATCCCGTCAGCAATTAAACTTGCAAATGACCACATAAACGAATTCAGCATTTACTTATAGATAAGGGAAGCTTGCAACTATTATGGAGGAGCGCAGCTTCTAATTTTCCGTTTTATCCAAATTTTATGGTAGTCATGTACATTTCTTTTTAGTTCCTCTGTTCAATACGTATAACAGTTCATACAGTATTGAGAATTTTTTACATTACAAGCTCACCTTTGTACGAGATGACAATTTTCACATGATAAATACCGATTGAATTAAATTAATTATAACAGCACGCATGCCGCTACGTTAAATATTATTCGAAACATGCTACGTATGTGCAAAATTTTCTCGGTTTATTTTTCAAGTACGCATTTTTCGTAATGAGAGGAAAAAATTTAAAAAATAAATAAATTAAAGAGAAAGCAGAAAAATATTTGTTAAGGGTTATAAACATGATTGATCATTAAACACGATCGATTCTGATGACCATTAAATTGTGCCTATTTCCTATCATTAATCTAATCTCAATTGACCTCGACGACAGTGATATAAATTATTCGAAAAATCGAAATTGCTGAACGAGTGTGAGAGTCTATAGAATATTTCGCGGCGTAGAACCGAAGACGACTTCCGAAGCTCTTTCGTTACTGACGAATTAAAATTCATGACGATAGTGGCTGGCCAACGAACTGGAGAAGTGCTGGCAAATCTATTCCGTCCTTTAGTCAAAGAGGCTGGATCGATATCAAAAGCCTTAAAAGAAAATATCCTACTTATAAATTTTAGTTTTTCAATCCTATCGATAAAAATATCCTAGTAAATTACAGTATGGACAAATTTATAAAAAACATCTGAATATCAGATTAAGTCATATAAAACCAAGTATGAACATTACTGACAAATATTCTGGAAATTCACTCATAGACTTTCTGAATGGCTTCCGATATTCGGTATGACGTTACTTATAAAAGTTTAAATGGCACCAAAGTGAAACTCGCTAAAACGAACAATGTTATGAGAAACGAACCTTGGATACACATACTTTCAAGATGAACGCTCGTACGGTAGCTCGATAAAAACAATTACGTAGATTTAGGAATTAAATTAAACACTTGGGATTTAACGAACAATTAAAATTACGTCAAATGTCGGTAGTGAGACATTTGTCAAAAAATTAGCTTCATTAATTACTAGACTAGGAAAACGAACTGGGTATATGCACAGAGTACTATGTATCCTAGGGAAATTCTACTATTTGTTTGAACAAGGATTACAAAAGACAAAAAGAAAACAAAGTAAGAACTTAAATAAGCTTAAACTTAAACTACTATCTCCTACCACTATCATTAATGGCCAAGAGAACCATGAAAAAGAAAAATATATATATTGACACACATCAAATTTATTTATCATTTATCCACGAATGAAAAGTCCTTTCAACTTCAAGAATATTATCTCTCGCGGTTCGTCAACTGGAAATAGCCGCAGTCATGCGCGAATTGACTGTCACGAGTGAAAATTAAGTAAAATGGCGTTAAACTTTCTCCACCCTCTTCCGCCTCTCAGCCTCTCAAACGAACAGAGTACCGCTTGCCAGACAACTGAGAATTAAGCATTAAGAGATTAAAATTCACTAAATTTACAAGAAGGAAAAAAAAAGAACGAAGTATATCATACAAGACAGTAACGATACCCAAGCGTTTTATAACCCATAAAGTCTCTAATATTCGTCATATAAAAGTACAACTGGCATGCGTTCACATGTCAGGAATAATTATGAAAAAGAAATAGTACAATTAAGAAACCAGCTAAAGCAGCCATAAGAGGATTAAAGATTTCTTTGTAAATAACGTACAGCTGGTACGTTGGGCCCCAGGGGCTGAGGAGGCTGTTTTGGTACAGGGATGAATTTTTTAATCGAAACCGGGAATCATCATGCCGATTCATACGAAACGCGGACATAGAGGACCGCGGCACCGGTACCGCGGCTAGAGACTGCACCGCGAACCTTCCTCAGGGTCTCTTATACCCTCGGCTTGGCGCATGCGCACGGCAACTTCTATTTATTTCTATAGCTATATAGATACCATACACCTTTACTCCATGTCTACGTCCTATTCTCGATTCTCAATGTCTTCTTCGACACGTTCTCGCTACGGGTGTCTTGTCTCAACGTTCGTCACACCGTTAGATACCTCAAGCGTCCTTCGACGACGTCACCCTGCAATAACCCACCCCCTCCCAGTTAATACTTTACAATATATCATAATATCATAAGCTGGTAACAAACCTCATAATTTTGATCCAACCTTCAGCACCTTCGGCAACCATCCTCATACATGAGGGGTTCAGCGTTTTAATGGGAAAATTACTCCAGGGCACGATCCTCACCCACTGTCTATCAAAAAAACCAAAGAGAATATTAAACTAGATAATATTATCCTGTCTTTATCATAGCCGATTTTAAAAATATAGATTTTTGACAAAATGGCGAACGCTTGAACTCAATGTAGCTATTTTCGTGAAAAAATTCGCTCGTATTTTGCAAAAACCAAAAAAACGAAGAATCGAAGAAAAAAAATCCTATGATAAAGACTAAATAATTATGTATAAGATAACCACAACAAATTTCAAGTCAATCGGTTCAGTGGTTTTCGAGATGTTTTGGGTACCGATTTGAAAAATGTAGTTTTGAGAAAAACGCGTTTGAAAATTTGTCGATGGATAAATCATGCAATTCGTTCAACTTACACAGATTCATCGTTACCAGGTCCATAATATAGGTTCTCCGAAGTGGAAAGTACGCCCATATCGTCTACCTAGGTCTTCCGGCACTGGAACGTCTCGTGCAGTCTTCAGCTTTGTGGCACAGGCACTAACATTCGATTCCGTTCTTTCTGCGTCGTATCGATTTTTAGGCGCTATTTTCTTTTTTTTTGCGATCTTTCCGCAATTCACTCGATTTGTGACTTTCTCGAGAACCTTTACGCCTTTCCACCTTTACTCCTGAATACTTTTATTCAGAAACGAAGGCTTCGATACTTGCTCTATGGCACAGTTAGACGGACGGAAAACTACTGACGAAGCACGCTAAGTTTCTGTCAGGATAACCGTTATGTTTGAAATATTCAACCCAGACAGGCTATGCAGGACTAATAAAATGCTGATATACAAAAAAAAAACACAATGGGCACAATAAGACCGAATGGACAGCGCCGTACTACCTGTATGACACGACGCGGCGCGGCGCCGGTCCAACGAACGCATGTACTATTTGGGCTATAACTTTGGCATTTTTCGGAATTTTTACTTAAATTTTTCAGCAGACACTCTTAACATATAAAACTTTAAGAAAATGTAAAAATTGAAAAATCGATTTTTTGGACCCTGCCAGGTGTATATTGCCCCCTTAAGTTAGGTTAGGTCATGTTATCAGTAATTCCACGCTGTCATGTAAAATACATTTACCGCTGATTAACCATCAAGGATTGTTATTGTAATTTCCAAAATTTTTGTTATGCTAGCTCAAGCATAGTTTCACACTATCGTTATCATACTCATTTTGTATACTCAAATCAGGGAGGCTTTGATAACAGTTATGACGTCATTGCGTTCAGTTATGAGGAATCAAAATTCGTTACAGAAATGTCCTCTACTCAGATGCAATGTGCTGCTATTAGTAGACGTACCTTGGGTACTGAACTGTCTCAGTGTACATAGGTAGTTAAAGATGAATTAGCTAAGTTGGAGATTGTGTGATATTTCTATTTGTTAACATTTCTTTTCTTCCTTCCATTCCTTCACTCTGGTCGCAAGTCCAGATCACGATTCACTACATAAATTGAAACGTTACTTGAAAAAAGACCGACTTTGATGATCATTTCTTACAGAAGCTGTCCTTTCAGATGGAAAATTTCTACAGGGTGATGTCAAAGGTGAAGAATTCTTCTAATGGATATCATGTTTCCTAGGAATTTCCATTTGTATCTGAAAGTGAAGAAATATGTTTTATAAATTGCGTGTCGATAAATATTTGTCATATTGTACTTGCATACGTTATTAATATATTCGTTTGCCATTGGAGCAATTTTTCTGATACTTTATCACTTTCGAAATGACTTTTAATGAACGCAGAGAAAAAATAATTATCACATAGAATATCGTATTGGGATCAATATAAAAAAAAAGATGCTCCAATGGCTGCTGGCAAGACTTCAGAAAAGTACTTTATAAATTTGAATATAAAACGAGTATAACGCGAGATAAAACGAACTACTCCCTTTGCCTATCCCACGATATTTAAACGTACTAAAGCAGGAAATAGTAAAAGTTCAAGGGACTGTTGAATCGTCACGGCGCCAGTCATTATTTAACTGAGCGACAAATTACACGCGACATAATGTACCAGTATTACGTATATGTATACATATAGACATAGCATACATAGCAGACAGACTCTATTAACGCCTAGAATAAATGAAATTAGTACAACAGCTATGTTGTAAATTAATCATTAATTGGCTGTTGTTTTGACCATTTTTGGTATTCGTTCCTATGTCTTAGTATTACTAAAATATATTTATTTTAATTTTTTATCTCAGAAGAGAAAGCTACCAACAAGCGGTAAATATTGTTCGAAATTTTAACGATTTTATCGAGAAAGTTTACCACGTACGACCCTTAGTACATGGTTCATATATTCGATAAATGTAACACGTAGTACAGTAGGGATGAAATTAACGTAGTCTATACAATGTGGAAAACACACGCGCGACCCGTAAATTCTCACTAGGAGGATTTATTGTCCAGGACTTCCCGGACTGTCGCGATTTTCTCGTGAGAAATAGATCGCGTGGATCCTACCGGAATACTAGTATGGATTTTGTACTGTGACTTATTATGAAGGAACAAACTCTATGCATGTATATACGTAAGTACAGTTATTATGTGTCAATGGAAATGTAAAATAAAGCTTACAAAATCTATTAAAAATAATTAAACCACATTGTTAATAGTAAAAAAAAATGTGATCTTATATTCTCCCAGTTTTTATACCTAGATAAAGCATTTGCCAATTTTCCAAAGTGCACCTTATATCTGACGACTACGTGAAAGTTAAAGTCAAGTCACTTATTTACATCAACGACAGTTTTACGAGATTTTCACGCCCCGTTCAGAAGACACTTTTAACCAGGAGCGATACATCTTCTGGGTTGTAAGAATTTCCAAAGGTCGACAGATACTGACCCGACTGGACGCATAGTGTGGTCCTGAACATGAATTATACGAGCGTCTTAGAGCATCCTGTCTTCATCCAGTCGCTCTTACGTTGCTACTATTATTTTTACACCAGTCGAGAAAAGCTCCAATTCGATACCCAGAGAAGACTTCACGACGTTACGTGATTCTCTTTCCTGCCTTCTGAGATTCCATGGATTTACTTCTGGAATAGATGATAGAAAGGATTTTCTGAAAAAGAAAGGAAAAGAATTTGATTTTGACAAAATTTATAAAAGAATATTACCTCGGATCTTTTACCGATTAGTCTCTTTTACCTCTCGGATCGAATATCATCTTAAACTCTCAAGCGTAAAGGTGGGTCTGCAAGACCCATAGCGAATATTGCGCCCTTTGTATCGGACGCGGGTGGTAGGAATAATCCCCTATATGTTTATTCGATCTGTGTCAATGCTAATCCTGTCAAATTCTTAAAAACATTTCAACTGATTTTCACTATCGGGTTCACTACGAATTTTTTTTTTAAAGCTAATGAAACCCACCTTGTCCATAACCTAAGTTTCTTCATTTCGCTGGTTGAGGGATCAAGAGAATTTGTCGACTTTTCTTCTCTAAATAGAGAATCCTCGTTAAGTGCACCTTTCCCGTGGGAGGACATGATTATTAAAGTATCTTCAGGTACTACATTGCATATGAGATGTAGTATCAACCCTCAGGGAACATAACATCGATCTCTTTGAATAATGTTCAGCTCTTAACCCATCTGGAATAAATTCAGTCTCTGGATTCAGGTACATTCAAATGGATTTTTTCTCATTGATCTAAGTGCCATATTTATAATACATTATGTACACGTAAATGTACGTAGATATTGTATAATGTATTCGTATCGTGGATAAGGTATGAATATGGTACCTTTAAGAAATTCTTCAAGATTTGTTCATCAAGTAAGCGTAACATTGAAGACATTTATTTTGATTCATGAAAAAAAGTATATAAAGATTGTGCTTTCATATCAGACGTTTAACTGATCAGACTGTTTTACAAGAACAAAGCAATTTTTTATCAATTAACGATTGATCAAGAAGAACTATTAGTCCAAGTACTGAATTGAAGATTGATGATTTTTCGATCGTTTAGAAAAGTCTCGACGCCATAGCGTCTATGACGAAAATAATAGTGTGTTAATGGAAAAAAAAAAGGAAATAGAATGGAATGAGCTTGAAAACAGGCTGTACCGATGACCTCCTGCACAGCGCAATTAAAAAGCTGTTGAATCTCAGCGGATTATTGAAAATTGTTCGCTTCGCTGGTAATTACAGAATAATTTTGTTAAAATGTTATTTTCAGGGAAATTGACCGACCTCACCTTCAACTTTATCCGCCGTCGACTAGCGAATACTGTTTTTCCGCGATCCTAGAGAATATTTATTTTCTTCGTACCTTTTTTCTGTCTCCTGTTTTTCATGCTCTTCTTTCTTCTTTCACCAAATTTTCCTCGTGAGGATATCGAAGGCGTGAATGATTTTCTTGTCAAAAAATCTAACGAATGTGTCAAACATAACCGTAGACGGTAAAACCTTGAAGTTGGTTAATAAGATTCCTACTGACGCCATTTCCTATACTCGTCGCGTGTCGCCCTCTGGGCGACAAATCTAGGAACTACGTATCTGAAACGAGCCAACGTACGCGACGCTTATTTAAAACAAATAGTGAAATATTAGTGGACATACGAGGTTTTCGATTAGCAACAT